GTTAATGTTGTTAAATGTCACTGAGCCGGTTCAGCTCATAGTGACCCTGTCGGTATAGGGTTTCCGAGGACCAGCTGGTGAATTTGAACCAACGACATTGCGGTTCAAACCGATCTTTTGGTCCAGTGCTTATCCTACAGTGCCACACCAGGACTCCAAATCTTTACAGGAGCAGAAAGCCTCATCGTAGTTTGGAATTACTGACCTTGCAGTTAGCAGGCTGACTATGCCACCAGAACTCTACCACGTGGGAGCACCATAAGTCAGAGTGGATGAGATGCAATTGGTTTAGACTTGTTTTGTTTACTGTTACAGGGAAGAAAGGAGTATCTGATTCACATATACAAGATAACTTGAGGAGACAAGATAGTCACATTCTAAACACACACACTCAAGTTGACCCCATGCACAACCGAATGAAATGCTTCCTCTCCTGCACCATTCCCACCATTGGTTGTAGATCCATAGGCTGATTTTTGGAAATCAGTTGCCAGGCATTTTTTCCTAGTCTTGCTGAAACCAGTTCCACATCACAGCACCACACAAGTCTCCATGGTTGTGGTTGTACTTGGAATCAACTCCAGGTCTCCTGCCTGGAAGCCAAGATCCTATCACCGACCCACCACTGCTGAGTGCTATTACTGCCTGCCTAGGTTCTGAGACCCTTCTGGCTAAAGGGAACTATCAGTAAATTGTGTTCAGTGTTCAAGACAGGGGAGCACCCAACAGAGACCGTCCCCGTCAGTGTCAGATTTTCAAGGTGTGATTTGTTGGAGTCCCTGAGAAAGGTTGTTTGAATAAACTCAGCCAAAGCAAGGAGTTTTCTGAGCATAAACATCATCTGACAAGCAAATTCTAGTGTGAAAGGAAGTGTTTCTTATTGGGGAGTGGGGGGCCCCCAAGGAACACCTGGCATCATTGATGTCTGGGGGTATTTGAGTGGATGGAGGCCAGAGATGCTGCTCAACACCCTACAATGCACAGGATGACCGCACCCCAGAGACAGATCCAACTCCAAATGATGTTAGTGTCAAGATTGAGACTCTCTGCTCTGTAGACTTTCTCCCTGGACGTTTCCTATCAAGAGACCATCCATCGTTGCTGTTGTTGTTAAGTGCCGTGAAGTCGGTTCTGGCTTATAGCGACCCTGTACAGGATTTCCGAAGCTGTAAATCTTTACAGGAGCAGAAAAAGCCTCATCTTTCTCCCACAGAGCAGTTGGTAGTTTCGAACTGCTGACCTTGTGGTTCACAGCCCGATTCGTAACCACTATGCTACCAGAGCTCCTTGGACCATCCATTATGTAATCTTTTTTGCCTGACTTCTTTCACGGAGTATAATGTTTTTAACACTCAGGTACAAGTTCTGTGCCCATCATCCTGAATTTATTTTATTTTTTGTTTTATTGTGGTAGGTATATATATAGGTAACAAGGGAGTTCTGGTGTGGTACTGTAGGATAAGCACTCGACCACAAGAACAGTTTGAACTGCAAGGTTGGCGGTTCAAATTCACCTTTCGTTCCTCAGAAGCCCTATTCAGGGTCACTATGGGTCGGAACCAACTTAATGGCACTTAACAACAACAATCTAGGTAACAAAGCATTTGCCATTTTTGTAATCTTTACATGCACAGCTCAGAGACACAATATTCACCGTGTTATTCAAGTGACAATCTCCATTGTTAATGTTGTTGTTAAGTGCCATGGTCAGTTCCCCTGTATAGGGTTTCCCCTGTATGTGAGCTTTAACCATCAACCTTGAGGTTCAAACCAACCTTGCAGTTCAGCGCATTAACCCACGGCACCACACCAGTCACCATGAGCCATTTCTAAATCTGTCCTCTCCTCTGTCAGTTTGTCTACTGTGGTGAAATGCGTTTTGCTGTGATTCTGGAAGCTATGCCACTGGTATTTTAAACACCAACAGGGTCACCCATGGTGGACAGGTTTCAGCTAAGCTTCCAGAAGAAGACAGACTTGAAAGGAGAGGTGGGACTATGAAGTGCAGCCAGAATGTTCCTTAGAAGCCTGGATCGAAAGACTTCATCTCTCATACTTCAGACACATTATCAGGAGGGACCAGAGTCTGGAGAGGAGACATTGTGCTTGTAAAGTGAAGCGGTGGTAAAAAAAGAGGAAGAGCGTCAACGAGATGCATGGACACAGTGGTAGCAGCAATGGGCTCAGGGGCTGGTCTAGGATGGGCAGTGTTTTGTTCTGTTGTGCATAAGGTTCCTGTAAGTCAGATTCAGTTCAACAGCACCTAACAACATTTTCCTCAACCACTTTTTTTTTTTCAAATTATGAACTGCGTGATAGTTTCCATGGGAGAACATGGGCTTTACATGGTTGCATTGCAATGATTACAATCTCCTCCGCGCATCATCATTCATTAGTATTTGCTTCCATTCCCTCTGTTTTTGTGTGCATTGTTTTTCGGGGGGTGGGGGGTGGGGGGCGGGGGAGGTGGAATGTACACAAAAACATTCAGGAATATATAATCATTTAAACAACCAAAGGGCACATTTTGCAAGCCTGCCTCCTCGCCGCCATCTCTCAATCCCTCTCTTTCCATGAGTCTAGAGTCTTCAGCTGCTCCCTCTTTCCATGTTCCCATCTCTGCCTCCATCTCTGTTCTCAACCACTTTTAATAGTTTATTTTATTGTTGTTGTTGTTGTTGAAAATATCCACAGCAGAATATCCACCAATTCAAAAACTTCTGCATATGCAATTCGGTGACATTGGATACAAGCTTCAAGCTGTGTGGTCAGTTTCATCCTCCTTTTCTGAATGGCTCCTCCCCCTGAAATATAAACTCCCTCTCCGCATAAATCTCCTATCTAAGCTTTCCTGCGGATCCCTCCCTCGTAAAAGAGTTCTTTTAAAAAGCTCAATGAGGGGAAGTGACCGAAGAACATCAATGAAGTGGTGAGCTAAGCCCTACATCATTCAGCAAACTACTGTGAACCCGGGTGGAGACCTGGTCGGCCAGTAGCGAGGCAACATCTGGGGACTCATGGGCTCAGAGTCAATGACACAGCCACAGAGGTCTAAAGTGGAGAGCGGGGCGGCCAGCCGATAAAAAGAGGCCGGACAGACGTTAGAACATCCACACTTGCAGATGATACCCATTTGACCAGACTTCAATGACTAGATAAACAGAGCTCAATCCGAAGAAGAAAGAAGAGGGAAAAAAAAGCGTCATCTGATACAATTCGATAACCAGGACCTACACCTATAAATGCAGTAGCTCAAAAAAGGAAACAAGTCCCTGCTGGAAAAACCATTCCCACCCCCTCCGCACAAAGGGCAGACAGGGATGGGCAACTTGGACATTGGCTACCCAAAATGGGGGGAGGGATACAGGGGCAAGAAGTGACTGGCTTACAAGCTTTCTAGAGGGAACCTAGATCCAGAGGGCGTGGAAGAAGGTAGAGTCTCCAGTGAGTGGTGTCCAGCCTGTCCAGGAAGGGCTGATGAAAAGAAATATAGATGGGTCTCTTGTGATGCAATTGTGAATGATTGTTGTCAGGACTGATTGTGAGAGTTGGAAATCTAGAGACGGACTTTTTGTAGCAAAGAGAGGAGTGATTAACTTTTCAGTCTAGGAGCAGAGAACCCTGGGACCATCAATGGAGAAGAGCGGAATCCTACCCAGAGAGGCCTGAGATGGAGGCAGAGAGGACAACGTCAAGAGATGGTGGGGCTGGGGACTAGGGATCAGGAGATGGAAAGGGGCTGAGGACTGTGGTGGTGGTGGTGGTGGGGGTGCAGGCTTATAGGGTACACCACTTGGTTGGGTGAGGATGCATGGATGGGATGGTAACTATGCCAATGAAATTGATGGAATGAATGTAAAGCTGATGTTCTCCCATGTAGACTATCACACACACACACAAAAAAGCTCAGTGATCGAGACAGACATTAGAAAACTAAAGACTTCAAACACTGGATTGCTCACCATAACATCAGATGTTCAAACCCACCAGGTGCTCCTGGGAAATCTACGGGGTCACTATGAGTCGAAACTGACTTGATGGCACTTAACAACAATATTTTTGTTTTAGAAGCCCTATTGGCTCAGGGGATTAAACATTGGGCTGCTAACCAAAAGGTCCACAGTTGGTAGAAATGAAACATCCTGCTTTTGTGACGATTTACAGCCTTGCCAACCACTGTGAATTTGAGGTTTTTTTTTGGTGTTGTTTGGTTTAAAGACGACTTCATGGGTTATTTAGTCTGAGGTTTCAGTTTTAAAGATGATCTCAGGGCAATAGTTTCAAGGGTGCATCCAGCTCTGCTCCAAAAAGTCAGGATTCCATCAGAGTTCAAAATTCTTTTCCATTTTCCCTCCTTTAGGTAAAGATTCTGCCATAAAATCTTTGATAAAAATGTTCAGCGGCAAAGGAGGCCCTTGTTCCCATTAACCTTTATTCTTAATGCGTCCTTTTTCTTTTTTCTAATTAATTGTAAATATTCTTTATTCTAAATACAAGTACCTTATCAGCTGTATGTGTTACAAATATTTTCTCCCATTCAGTGGATTGTCTTTACTTTTCAAAAATCAATTTATTTTGCCATCAACCACTTTCAATTTTAATACAACTCCAATGCAGTAGGTACATATGGGTAAACTGAGTCACGTCAGTCATTCCGACCCATAGGGGCCCCTGTATAGGGTTTCCGAGTAGCAGCTGGTGAGCTTGAACCACCGACCTTGCAGTTGAAATGGCTTTTCATTCTGGCGCATTAACCCACAGCGCCACACCAGGACTCCTTACAAGTCCTCAGCAGCAAACTACAACGTCCGCAACGCCTTGCGTGCGGCGCGCCGGCGGCCGGCGGCCGGACTACAAGTCCCGGGTTACTTCGCGCCCCGGCGCGGCGCGCGGGCGGGCGACGAGCGGCGCCATCTTGGCTTCGGCGGCGCGGGATTGAATGAGCCCGCGGAGTCGCGGGCCGCCGTCGTGAGTACAGCCCGAGCCCCGCCGCCGCCGCCGCTGCCGCCGCCATGACCACGCCGCTGTCCACCCGCGCGGGCGGCGGGCCTTCCACGCCGCTGTCGCCCACACGCCTGTCCCGGCTGCAGGAGAAGGAGGAGCTGCGGGAACTCAATGATCGCCTGGCGCACTACATCGACCGTGTCCGCGCGCTTGAGCTCGAGAACGACCGGTTGCTGCTCAAGATCTCGGAGAAGGAGGAGGTGACCACACGCGAGGTAAGAGGGGCGCAAGCTGGGGTCCCCGGGGAAATCTCGGGAACACTAGTGAGGGATGCAGTCTGGGCGTCCCTGGGAATCTCAGGGGCCCTAGTGAGGGGCGCAAGCTGGGGATCCCCAGGGAACCTCGGGGGCCCTAGTGAGGGGTGCAGACCAGGGGTCCTTGGGGAAACTCGGGGGACCTAATGAAGGGTGCAGACTGGGGATCCCCGGGAATCTTGGGTATCCTAGTGAGGGGCCCTACTGAGGGGTGTGGACTGGAAATCTCCAGGAATCTCAGGGGGCCCTAGTGAGAGATGCAGATCGGGGGTCCCCAGGGAAACTCGGGGGCTCTAGGGAGGGGGGCAGACTGGGGGGGGGGTCACGGGAATTTGGGTAGTGTAGTGGTTACAAATCAGGCTGCTAACCTCAAAGTCAGCAGTTCGAAACTATCAGCTGCTCCGCGGGAGAAAGATGAGCCTTTCTGCTCCGGTAAAGATTTACTGCCTCGGAAACCCTGTGCAGGGTCACTATGGGTCGGAACCGACTCCACGGAACTTAACAACAAAAGTGAGGGGTGCAGACGGGGATCCCTGGCAATCTCGGGGGCCTTAGGGGATTCTCGGGGATATTTAGGGTCCTAGTGAGGGGTGCCGACTGGGGGTTCCAGGGGATTTCTGCGGCCCTTAGTGAAAGTGTACAGACTAGGGGTCCCTGAGGAATCTAAGGGGGCCTTAATGAGGGGTGCAGACTGGGCGAAATCTTGGGAGCCACTTGTGAGGGTGCAGGTTGGGGAAAATCTTGAGGTCACTAGTGAGGGATACAGATTTGAGGTCCCCGGAAATTTAGTGTATGCCTGTAGCGGGGGAATGCGGATCCCCCCACCCTACATAAGGGTGCAGACAGAGGGAGGCCCATTGGTGAGGGTTAAAGACGGGCGATCCCTGAGAATCCAGGGAGGCCCCTGAGGAGGGCTGCAGACTAGAGGGGGCCCCATCTTTTGAGGGGTTCTTAATGGAATTAGGGGCTCCCTGGGTGAGGCGCGCACTGAGATAGGCCCCACCCTTGGAGGGGCCTCCAGGGGATTTGGGGCAGAGGGAGGGGGTGAGTGGGGGGTGTGGTCTCCGATAGGCGTGTCCCCACTATAGGATACCCAGCTGATGTCTCTTCAAGTGGGACCTCCCCTTAGAGGGTGTGAGCAACCTTAGGCCCCGCCCCTAAGGGGATTGGGCGGGGTTTCTTTTCTTTTTTTAATCTGATAATTTGTGTGTGTGGTGTGTGTGTGTGTGTGGTGTGTGTGTGGTGTGTGGTGTGTGTGTGGTGTGTGTGTGAT